GTTATGGGTATACATTGTGAAATGATTACCACAAGCAAGCTAAGTAACATGTCCATCACCTGACATAGCCACCATTTTCTTTCCTTTTGTGTGTGTGGTGAGAACACTCAAGATCTACCCTCCTTGCAAATTTCAAGTATACAGTACGGTGCTGTCAACTACACTTTGGATCCCCTTACCCGTCAGCTACAAAACAAAACAAACAAAAAAATAACAAGAAAAGGGAAAACCGTAGGCACCATTTGTATATCAGATCCTCAGAACTTCTCATAACTGTTACTTTGTACCATTTGACCAACAACGCCTATTTCCTGCTCCCCCAACCCGTGGCAACCACGATTCTACTGTCTGCTTCTATGAGTTTGACTATTTTAGATTCCACATGTAAATGAGATCATGCAGTATTTGTCTTTCTGTGTCTGGATTATTTCACTTCACATAATTTCCTCCAGGTTCATCCATGTTGTCATAAACAGCAATATTTCCTTCTTTTTAAAGGCTGAATAACATTCCGTTGTGTATGTTGTACACCATATTTTCTTTATCTCTTCATCTGTTGACAGACACCTAGGTTGTTTCCATAACTTGGCTATTGAATAGTGCTGCAGTGACATGAGAGTATAGATATCTCTTTGAGGTACTCATTTCATTTTCTTTGGATGTGTACCCAGAAGTGGGATTTTAGGACCATATCATAGTTCTATTTTTAATTTCTTGAGGAAATTCCATGCTCTTTTTCATAATGGCTGTACTAATTTACATCCCCACCAACAGTATACAGGCTTTTTTTCCCCTCCATAGTCTCACCAACACCTGTTATCTTTTGTCTTTTTGATAATAGACATTTAAGCAGGTGTGAGATGATATCTTATTGTGGTTTTGATTTGCATTTCCCTAATGATTAGTGATGGTGAGCACCTCTTCACATACTTGTAGTCCATTTGTATGTCTTCTTTGGAGAAATGTCTATTCAGGTCTTTTACCAATTTTTGATTGGGTTATTTATTTATTTATTTTTGCTTTTGAGTTATATGAGTTTCTTATGTATGTTGGATATTAATCACTTATCAGATAGATAGTTTGCAAATATTTCCTCCCATTCCATAGGTTTCATTTTTATTCTGTTGTTTCCTTTGCTGTGCAGAAGCTATTTAGTTTGATGTAATTCTACTCATGTATTTTTGCTTCTGTTACCTGTACTTTTGATGTCATATCCAAAAAATCATTGCCCAGACCAATACAAATAAACATTTCTTGTTTTCTTCTAGTGATTTTACAGTTTCAGGTCTTACTTTTAAGTCTTAAATCCATTTTTTCTTGATTTTTATATATGTTGTGAAGTAAGGGTTCAATTTCATTTTTCGGCATGTGGATATTCTGTTTTCCCAACACTGTTTATTAAAGAGACTATCCTTTCTTCATTCTGTTCTTGGCACTCTTGTCAAAGATAAGTTGAGCTTGAATATGTGGACTTACAAGAGTATTTCAAAAAGTTCATGGAAAGATTTGCATTACCTTTTAATTCTATTTTTCCATGAACTTTTTGAAGTACCCTTGTATTTCTGGGCTCTCTATTCTATTCCACTTGTCTATGTGTGTGTTTTTATGCCAGTACCATATTGTTATTTTTTTTAATGCTAGCACCATACTGTTTTAATTATTGTAGCTTTGTAATATAGTTTGAAGTTAGGACACGTGATGCTTCCATCTTTGTTCTTGCTCAAAACTGCTTTGGCTGTTTGGGGTCTTTTGTGGTTTCTCCCCTAGAGGTGTAAGCTGAGCTCTGCTTAGGGCAGGAAGCATTGCCAGGCTGCTTCTCTGACTTTGCAGCTCCAACTCCAGAGGTCCTTTTGGTCTTCTTTACACTCTGAAAGACCAGAAGGCAGCTTTCCTTCTCTTTGAGGTATTACTGATCCATAGCACATATATTGTTCCCAGTTTTTATTCTTTCTACTATAGACATACTATTTTTTTTTCCATTTTTTCACTGTGGTAAAATATATATAACATAAAGATTGCCATTTTAAGCATTTCTAAACATACAATTGCATGGAATCAATTACATTCACAAAGTTGTGCAACCACTACTTCTAGTTCAAGGACTTTTCTTTCATCCCAAACATAAACTCTGTGCCTGTCAAGCAAAACCTTCTCCCTATTCCTTTTCCCCATCATGATTAGTGATGTTGATCATTTTCTCATATACTTTTTGGCCAGAGTTTCTGTAACCTCTAATCTACTTCTATCTGAACTTTTTCTTTAAAATTTATTTTTTCTAACTTGACCCATGATAACTGTGTATATTTATGGACTACAATGGGATATTTGGGTACATTTATAAAGTGTAGAATGATCATATGAGGATATTTAGCATATTTATCACCTCAAACATTTGTCAACAATTTGTGTTGGGAGCATTCAGTATCCTCTCAAATAGCTATTTGAAGTTGTACAGTAATTTGTTTTTGACAGTCGTCTCCCTATATTTCTATAGAGCACTAGATCTTATTCTTTCTATCTCTCTACAATTTTGAATACACTGACTACCTTCTCTTCATACTCCCCTCTCTCCTTACCAGTCTCTTGTAACTACTATTCTACTCTCTACTTCTATGAGATCAACATTTTTAGTTTTCACATATGAGTGAGAATATGAGGTATTTGTCTTTCTATGCCTGGCTTATTTCACTTAATATAATCTTCTCCATGTTTATCCTTGTTGCTGTGAATGACAGAATCTCATTTTTTTCTATGGCAGAGTAGTATCCCATTGTGTGTATGTACCACATTTATGTTATCCAATCACCCATTGATGGATACTTAGGTTGGTTCCAAATCTTGGCTATTGTGAATTGAGCCACTATAAACATTGGAGTGCAGGTATCCTTTGATGTGTTGATTTTCTTTCCTTTGGATATATACCCAGTAGTGGGATTGCTGGATTGTATGTAGCTCTGTCTGTTGTTTTTTGAGAAACCTCCATACTGTTTTCCATAATAGCTGTACTAATTTCCATTTCTACCAACAATTTATAAGAGTTTCCCTTTCTCCATATCCTTGACAACATTTTTATTTTTGTCTTTTCTGTAACAGCCATTCTAACTATCATTGTTGTGTTGATTTGTATTTCCCTGGTGATTAGTGATGGTGAGCTTTTTTCGTATACCTGTTGGTCATTTGTATGTCTTCCTTTGAGAGATGTCTCTTTAGCTCCTTTGCCCATTTTTTAATTAGATTTTATTTTACTGTTAAGTTGTTTGAGTTCGTTGTATATTCTGGATATTAATCCCTTGTCAGATGCATAGTTTGCAAATATTTTCTCCTATTCTGTAGGTTGTCTCTTTGCTCTTTTGATTGTTCCCTTTGCTATGCAGCTTTTTAGTTTGATATAATCTCATTTGCTTACTTTTGCGTTTGTTGCCTGTGCTTTAGAGGTCTTAGTTATGAAATCTTTGCTCAGTCCTATGTCCTGAAGCATTTTTCCTGTGTTTTCTTCTACAAATTTTAGTTTCAGGTCTTACATTTAAGTCTTTAATCCATTTTGAGTTGATTTTTTTACATGGTGAGACATAGGGGTCTAATTTCATTCTACTGCATAGGGATCTCCAATTTTCCTATCACTGTTTATTAAAGAAACTATCCTTTCCCCAGTGTCTGTCTTCAGCTTTTTTGTTGAAAATCA